TAAGAAACTACCACCGCTTTCTACTCAGATCATCTGCTCCAGCCGAAGCCTCCTGCATCCCTGGCCCATTATTATTATTATTATTAGTGATGCGGACGAATACTTTGACGCCTAAATTGAGGGTATAATTTTTGTTGTTTTCTTTTTTTTACTTTCATTTTATTTTATAGTTTAGTTGTAGTTAATTTTAAGTTGTAAATATTTATGTAGTTATAAAAAATGCAGGTAGAATAACGAAGATCAATAGCCACGGTTTTATTTTTTTTGAAGACGAATATGTCCAAAGTCTGTTAACGTCAAAATCTTAATGTCAATTTGTCATTGTCAAATTAACGTCAATTTCAGGAATAGGATCAATGCGTGCGAGAAATGAATATTTTTATTTTATGAAATTGATCTATGAATAATTGATAAAATATGGGATCACGACAAATTACTGAGAAGTCTCTGTCTATGTTAAGATCCTTACCGAGAATATCTCTTGGTAATATTCGTAACAATCCTAAATCCAAGCAAAGTGTAAGCTGTTTTGTTAAATGCTAAAATAACCTAATTTTTTCTATAAATATACAGCTTGTTAAATGTTTTGAATTGTTGTATTGCAGTCAAAAAGAGGCCGCGGACAACACGGAGGCGACAAGCATGGCGCTGGTAATAAAGGATCAGGCCAAAGGCAAAACTATATGAGATTAGGTTATGAAACTGGAAATAATCCATTTTATTTGAGAGTTCCTCAAGAACATTATTACAGAGGCCACCAGTAAGTTACAAACTTTTGTTTAAAGTCACATTAAATCTTAATTAAGATTAATTAAAAAACCTGTGTTGCCCTCGTACAGTAATCTAAAACCTTTAAAATGAGCAATTCTTGTATATATACATATATAAATCATCATCATATCAGCCATAGGACGTCCACTGCTGCATATAGTCTTCCCCCAACGACAAATATAAATCAACAATCTCAGAAATGGCTCCATTGATTATCTTGAAATTTTATATGTAAGAGGTTTTTAGGAGCGATAAATCGATCTGGCTAGGTTTAATTTTTGAGAAAATGTTGTTCTGTTTATGTCATATAAAGAAAATCCTTATTATAAACAGTTTATGCCCCAATTCTAAAAGGCTTCTCAATTTTAAGTTGCACTTGAATATCATGCCATCTCTGTCATTTTACAAAGAATTCGTGTGACAGAACTATACGTACTTAAGTGCATAGTTTTCAAAATTCGGTTTTTCGTCGGGAAATTGGGTGCCTTTCATGCAGAACATTCGATGCTCAGCCTGAATGTTTCTTTTACTTTATGTTTTGTCCTATTTGCATCTCATTATATTTTTTTGTCTTTTCTATTTTTCTAAAAATCTGTCATCAAGGTTCTTATCTATACTAATATTATAAAGAGGAAAGATTTGTACCTATTTTTGTATGTTTGTAATGAATAGCCTCAAAAAGTACTGGACTGATTTAAAAAATTCTTTCACCAATAGAATGCTACATTCTTCCAATTTGACATAGGCTACATTTCATCTTGAAAAAAATTAGGGATCCTTGGTAAAATTTGATCAATGTAACCAAAGGTGTAGAAAAATGAGTCTTAAAATGTCTTTCGTTGAATGTGCTGCCGAAACTATTAGCGATAGAACAAAATAATGTACAACAATATTGAAGAACATCATAATGTCTACAAAAAACTCAGAGGTAGCATATGTCCAACTATTGTACTTATGTCACTACAACAACAATAATTGTCTACCCCGTGCGAAGCTGGGACGGGTTGCTAGTTTTTATATAAAATAATAATGGTAATAATTGCAATGGTTTTTCAGCCTCCGGAGGGAATATCCACCACTGTCATTACATCAACTACAGACCATTATTGATACAGATCGCTTGGATATAACTAAACCCATTGATATTGCAAGTATTATCAAGTCAGGTCTCTACAAATTTTTCCCTGATCAGAAGCAATTTGGTGTCCAACTCACTGATGAAGGAGCAGATTTCTTTGCAGCAAAAATAAATATTGAAGTTCAGTGGGCGAGTGAACAAGTAATTGCTGCTATTGAGAAAAATGGTGGTGTTATTACAACTGCCTACTACGATCCGCATAGTTTGATGTTACTCAAGAACCCTAAAAAGTTTTTTGAGTCAGGTCAAGCTATACCTAGGAGGATGATCCCACCACCTGATGCTATTGAATATTACACTAGTGCTGAGACACGTGGCTATCTGGCTGATCCAGAAGAAATATCAAAGGAAAGGCTAAAATTAGCACAGAAGTATGGGTATAGTTTACCTAACATTGAAAATGAACCAAACTACAATATGCTAAACGAAAGGAAAGATCCTAGACAAATATTTTATGGATTAGAGCCCGGTTGGGTTATCAATTTGAAGGAAAAGTGTATTCTTAAGCCGAAAGATCAAGAATTGTTACAATTCTACAGTACATAAGATGGATAACTAAATTATATTGGTAAATATAGGTTCTTATAGACATTAATTGTTGTTTTTTTCTAATTTCTTGTGTTATCTCAGTGAGATCAATTGTCTAATTGTAACCAGACAGAGAATCATGAAATGAAAATATAATAGAACAAAAAAATAGCAAAAAAACCAGTAGTACAATTACCTTTCCCGGGAATCGAACCCGAAACAATCACACGGCTACAAAATTAACGAAGCATCTATGCATATTTTGGCCCCAATCGCAATTTGCAAGAGCTGCTAGAACAATAATAAAATAATATGTTCAATGTTCATACACCCAACGTTTTTATCAACCAGTGTTCCATTTTCAATGCTGGCCCTTGGGCGTTAGGAAATCCGAATTTAGACAGGTAATTTGTATTGTCACTTTCTTGAGACATACTAAATAAATTATTGTTTTCGGCTTACTCATGTAATAATTATTTAGACAGGTAATGTTCGGCACTAAATGTACTAGGATTTGATGCCGAATATTTGCTCTGTAAGTGGAGCCAGTTTCAGAACTTTAGTTGTGTCAATCTATTGATTCTGTGCAAGACTATGGCCAAGGTCAATTCACTAGGTATTTATTTATTTTTTGCTGTTTGATGCGAGTTGACATTATTAAAAATAAAAAACATTTTTCTGTTGTACATTTATTCACTTTCTCGAGAACCGCAAACCATTAGTAGACATAATATAAATCAGTGTTAATCAGAAGATACAATATTTTCCGCCTTACTGATACTTATGTATTATCCTGATACTATTTTCAAGTAATCCTGTTTAAAGATATTCTTACATTCAAACATAGTATAACTTACAAGAAAGTGTGATGTTGAATACTACAAATTTAATATCTGTAGTGGTCTGGCTTGTATGGTCCCTCGACAGGGACGCCGATGTATTTCGCTTGTTTAGGTGTGAGCTTAGTTAGTTTTACACCAAGATGGTCCAAATGTAAGGCAGCTACTTCTTCATCCAACTTCTTAGGCAGTGTGTGAACTCCAACAGGGTATGCATTGTGCCTTGTCCAAAGTTCGATTTGAGCTAGAACTTGGTTGGTGAAAGAGTTTGACATAACAAATGATGAATGTCCTGTGGCGCATCCTAAGTTAACAAGACGTCCAGCCGCCAAGACAATGATGTGGTTTCCATTGTCAAGCTCGTAGCGGTCTACTTGTGGTTTAATGTTTACTTTCTTGGCATTGTTTTCGAGCCAAGCGACATCTACTTCACAGTCGAAGTGACCAATATTACAAACAATTGCATCATCCTTCATTTTCAAGAAGTGTTCCTTGCAAATGATGTCTAGATTTCCTGTAGTAGTGACAAATATCTGTCCTACTTCAGCAGCCTCCTCCATGGTCGTTACCTGGAATCCTTCCATAGCCGCTTGTAGGGCATTAATGGGATCTATTTCAGTGACAATAACTCGACCTCCAAATCCCTTAAATGCTTGAGCGCACCCTTTACCCACATCACCATAGCCTGCGACTACGCACACTTTTCCGGCAACCATGATATCTGTAGCTCTTTTAATTCCATCTAGCAATGATTCTCTACATCCATACAAATTATCGAATTTGCTCTTAGTGACTGAGTCATTTACATTGATGGCAGGTACCTTCAGTAGACCTTCACGGAACATTTTATACAAATTGTGTACACCAGTAGTGGTTTCTTCAGAAATACCCTTAATGCCCTCTAGATATTGTGGGAACTTCTTGTGAACCAAGTTCGTTAAGTCGCCACCGTCATCCAGGATCATGTTAAGTGGCTGAAATTATAAAATAAATGCATTAAAAGTATGTATGTTATGTTTTTGATACCATGGAGGTAACATAAACGGATATTTATAAACATAAGGATTTTGTCCTGTGTCGTGGGTGTGTTTACAAACACACAAGTTCACATACACAATGACACCCAGACCAGAAACAACAATTTGTGGATCACACACAGAGCTGTTCCGTGCGTTAATCGAACCCGCTACACGTTGCGCGGCTGCCAGTTGCCCAGCCACCGCGCTAACCATGCAGACAAATTTGAGTGTAGGTTACTGTCTACACACTTTTAATTA